GCACCTAAAGGCCAAAAAGCTCCGTTTCTCCTCAGCGTCAGAGCCAGGCATCACAGATGAGGACAGCCACTCCCACTAGCCATGTGCAGAGGGGAACTGCTTACTGAAGCATAGAGATTGAAATTGGGCCGAGCAGGGCTCAAGCGGTGGCCCCGCTATCTAATGTGCCTTCTACACATTGTCTAGTCTGTGAGCCTGCTTCTTTCTGTATCACATGAGGACGTTGGACAAGCAGTGTCTATCACACGTTTTTTGTCTGGGACTCTGGCTGAAAATACACATTCTGCCATCCCTTCTAATATGGTTTACATGAATATACCGCTGCCCTCATCTCGGTACCTGTCCACGAGCAGGTTTGGGAAGGATGGGCACAGGCCTCCCAATAGCTGGCGGGGAAGAGGTCAGGACAACACAGACGGAAGAGCCTGAGTGGGCAGCCTGGCATGCCTGTCCCTGGGCCTTCGATAGCCTGTACCACCACACCTCTAATGCTCGAATGTACTGACAGGTACATTCTACAGATGTCTGAGTTGATGTTAGGATCTAGAGGTTCCTCGAGGAGCCCTGGTGGTGTGGTGGTTACGTGTTGGGCTGTAACCCTCATGGTTGGCAGTTTGAAACCACCAGCGGCTCCAAAGGAGGAAGACGGGCTTTCTACTCCTGGAAACAGTTACCATCTCGGAAATCCGCGGCGGGTCACTGTGAGCCAGCACGGACTCCGTGACATCGAGGAGAGTAGGGGAATTTGCAAGTCAAACCCCCAAATGAACACAAAGATGGTAATGCCATGCATCCACATGGCAGCTGGTTGGTTTCTTCTCCAGATTTTACCCAGTGTGAGGTAGGCTTTCATTGTAGGGTTTCTCCTTTCACCCCCCAGATCCAGCCATTAAAGCAGACATTAACAAATGGAGGATAAAATTAGATAATTATTCTGCTCAGGAACTGGGACGAACAATTGTCTATTTGGATGGGTCCACTCAGTCATGCCGTTTCAGAGAATGCAACATGGGCAACTTGATTTGTGATGCGATGGTAAGTCGGCCACAGAGACAGGTGTGGAGCTAAGGAGGACAGGGAGGAGGAGGGGAGGGAAGGAGGGAGGGAGGGAGGGAGAGAGGGAGGGAGGGAGGTCAGACACTAGGAGGCACAGGCTGATACTTACGGTTATAGGATGGTCATCCTCAGTGCCTTGGGAAGGTGCCAGAACTAGTTCAGGTGGTCCTCATTTTACTGCTCTTCAAGAACTAAACTTTAAGATGTTCATCTCGGATATCCGAATTCCAGATGTTGTTTCATTTTGTAAGATGATCAGAGCACACAGACTCACCCTGCTGCCCTGGATAGGTAGACACAATAGCTAAAACACAGCTAGCTGCTCGAGCCTCAATTGGCCAGGTTGTTTTTCAACAGCCTGTCCATGGCTCCAGAGAATGTAGGCCTACTGTGATCGGAACTTCCTTAACCAGCGTAGAATTACAGCATGTGGTGATCAAGTCCCAGGACTGAGCACGGTCATCCACAAAAGAAACCCTTCTGCCAATGTGGGCAAAATGACCTTGGCAGCTCCCTGGGCACCAGGCTCACCGTAGTCTCTAAGGTGGGACTCACCATTCCCTCAAAGTCCACCCCCTGGCGACCATTCCTTAGTCAATGCTCAGCGTGGTGCCCGGGGTGCACCCACTAACTGTTTGGAAAGAGCTGCTGGCCGGCGGCGCATACAGGGGCCTTACGAGAGGACGCTAAAAGGCGCCACTTCCTAAGAGCCGAAACATAAGAGCCAACTCATTGTGACTCCAGACGAGCCACAACATCATGTTTGGCCTCTCGGACAAAGTTAGCTCTGACTAATTATACTCAGCAAGTCCCCAGGAACAAAGGAGCAGGAGACAACTCCGTTGCCTCCATGAAAGGGGGGGGACAAACAGTTGCTGCCCCGGGGAGTCCAACTAGGCGAACCACGTGTTTTAAAGTAGAAAGGCCCTGACAGGGTTCCCAACGGCCTGGTCCTTCCGGGGGCGAATGCCAGGTCTCCTACGGCACCGCTGGGTGGACTCACGGTGCCGCCTACCCAGTGAGTAGTCTCGCACTTTCCTGTTGGTGCCGCCCAAGGTCACTTCCTCAAGAAGGCTAACTAAAATTCTAAAATGAATCCCGAGACTGGGAATAACTAATGACCTTTTGTGCAACCGTTGCAGATTAACAACAACCTCAGGCACCCAGATGAGATGACCTGGAACCACGTGTCCATGTGCATTGTCAATGGAGGCAGCATCCGGTCGCCCATTGATGAGCGGAACAACGGTACGCTCTCAGGGCGTGCCCTGCCCTGCCCACACCCTGTCCTGGGGCAGCCTCATTCCGCTCTGCTGCCAGCCACACAGCAGAGTGCCAGCCCTTGCGTGTGTGCTAGCTGCCACTCCAGCCCTGATCGAAAGGACACACTCACCCAGACGTGTCCTTGTAGGGGTCACATACAGAAGCCGCGGCTGGCTGATCTAAATCTCTGACTCAAGAGCTCAGGAATAATCGATGATGGATGCAAGCATCGATAGCCTCCGCCGTGGCATCGGAGAATAGAAAAATAAAATCAGCAGACTTCTGGGTTGGAAAAGACCTGTTACCGGATGACATTGTGACTCTCCTGTAGCCACATTGTTGAGCCACCTTGGTGGCACATGGTTCCGCACTCAGCTGCTAGAGTTAGCGGTTCAAGCCCACCCTGTGGCTTGAAGGCATCATCTCTTCCTCTAAACCTAGCAGCCGAGGAAAACCTGCTCTATCACAGGAGCATGTTGTTACTTGAAAGCCAACTTGACAGGACAGAACTGCAGTATATTTGCAGAAATTCGAGTAAAAACACGATGGCGGGAGTGTGGGACTTTCTCCACAATCAGAGGGGAGAAGTAGCATCAGAAGCAACAGCCCAAGGCTGACTCGTATGTCAGAGGTCAGGCATACCTCTTCTCTCCCCACCTTTCCCCCCAATTCTGACCCTAGCCATTCCTCGCACAGCATCCTCTTCTCCTCTCGGAGATTCAGTGTTCACTGCCGTGCTCACACACAAGTCACAGACCACACTTCCAGTCACAGGGGTGACCGCAGGAGTAACCGATCAGGAACGGCTCATGATACAGTTCTTTGATCAGGACAGCGTCTTCGTGGCCATGCCCCTAGGCAGGCTGCTTGCTGGCCTGTGCCTTTTTAGGCCAGGTCTTGCCTCTACTTTGCTTGGGCTAGGGTTATAAAATTCTTTTAGCTCTTCCAATTAAGTGTGCAGAGGCACCCCACTCTACCAGCAAGTCTCAGCCCAAAGGAACTTCGGTCTAGTTGTAGAGTCATCAAATCTAGCCGTCTGAGGACGCCTGACCTCACCAACCAGCCTCCTGCCTTGAACTGCTCACCAGAGCGGATGCTGTTCTTAAAGCACCCTCATGTTGCTGGCTGACACAAATGGTGGGCATGGTTGGCTGCTAACCAAAGGGATGAAGGTTCGGGTTCCCCCAGAGATGCCACCGGAGAAAAGCCGAGCAATGCACTTCCAAGGCCTCAGTCCACAAAACCCCCGTGGAGAACAGTTCCTTTCCAACGCACCCCCGGAGCCGTCATGAGTGCAAATGGGCTTAATAGCAGCCAGGTTAATTTCTGCTTTCCACCCCACCTCCGGCCCTGCGGAAAACTGAGCGTAGGCCAAGCATTTTCTCAAGCTGTTGTCCTTCTTGCCTCATCTCTGTTCTCAGGCACAATTACCTGGGAGAACTTGGCTGCTGTATTGCCCTTTGGAGGCACCTTTGACCTGGTCCAATTAAAAGGCTCTACCCTGAAGAAGGCCTTTGAGCACAGTGTCCATCGCCACGGCCAGTCTACTGGAGAGTTCCTGCAGGTGGGCGGTAAGTCACCTGTGCTGCAGACTGAGCGAGACTGCCCAAGGGATGGAGGTGGCTTGGCCACCACTCCCACCCCTGCTGGGACTCCCCTCCATAGCCACCTTTGTTTAGATTTGCTCTCACCCAAGGCAAACACATGGTCTTCGAGAGCTGCAGACTCCCAGGTCAGGGTCAACCTCCAAAGTTCTGGCAATGAATGAGCCTTCCCAAGTCTGTTGTATAGATGGGCCTCTGCAGGAGTTGGCCTTCCAGGGTCTGAGCAGGTCAGATGCCTTGAGGGCCCACCTCTATTAAAGTGTTAGCTGATGAGACAGTCAGAATTATTTGTTTGAAATAAATAGATAGATAGATAGATAGATAGATAGATAGATAGATAGATAGATAGATAGATAGATAGATAGATACCGATAATCCCTTATCTGCTTTGGTTCTAATGGCCTGGACCTAGGTAGATGTCCACAGGAAGGCAGTGGCCAATCAGTGTTCCCAAAGAGACTTTCTAGGAGTGGGCTGTGTCGGCACCCTGGAGCACCTGTTTCCAGTTCCACTGTGATCTGGACAAGTCTCCATCCTCCCTCATCTCAGCAAGAAAAACTCCTCTTGTCACACAGGTTGTCATGAAAATCAGTGCTCCACCAAGTGCCATGGACTACTGATATGCTTTTTGTCAATATTTAACTCCACAGTAAGGGGAAATCATCCTCAAAGTAACAAGCCTATTCACTTTGAAATCATATTCTGGTCTCCATTGTTTTCAGCTGTAGACAGTGTTCCTGCTTGATCACAGGTGCTTTGCCGAATGAGTCCACCCTCTGCAGAACACGTCAGGGCTGACCATTTGCAGAATCAGTGGGGCCTTGGCATTCTGCATTTTCCCAAGAGAAAGTCAAGCAACAGCAAGTGTTTGATGCTGCAGCTGAGTAGCTGCGTGCTTTGTGTCAGCTGGCCAGCCCCAAATTAGTTAGGCAATCATCCTCAAAATTCTAACAAATATTCTGGGCTTGTCACAGACTTCTCATTTTCAAAATTATTGAATCAAGTTACTGAACCAATTAATTCAGGATTTTAAAGAGGTTTTAAAAAAAAGTGCTTACTCCCCCACCCCAACTCCTTCCCAAGCATCTCTTAACCCATGCTGAGCCAGAAGCTAGCTTTTTCAGTGATTATTCCCAGACCTCCCACAAGGACTCAAAACAAGTGGCAGCGAAATTGCCTCAGCTGTCTGCTGAAATGCCACTCCAGCTCTATCTGAGTGAAATCCAAGGGCACTGGCCCCATTCCAGCGTGGTCCAGACCCAGGAGTCGGTAACTGAAATTTCCCTTTGGCTCCAGTGGAAACATGGTCTATCTGTTTGTTTCTTTCTCCTAGGGATCCACGTGGTGTATGACCTTACCCAGAATCCTGGGAACAGAGTGGTCAGCATAGAGGTTCTTTGCACCAAGTGCCGAGTACCCACTTATGAGCCCCTCAAAATGGATGAGGTGTACAAGGTGGTCCTCCCAAGCTTCCTTGCCAATGGCGGAGATTCATTCCAGATGATAAAAAATGAACTACTAAAACATGACTCAGGTAGGCATGCACGTCTCTCTTATTTCCTGTCACTTCACAGG